CGAGAGGGCGAGAGGGCGAGAGAGCGAGAGAGCGAGAGAGCGAGAGAACGAGAGAGCGAGAGAGCGAGAGAGCGAGCGAGAGAGAGAGAGAGAGAGAGAGAGAGAGAGAGATTTTCATTTACTTTTCGTAGAGTTCTTCTTGCTCGACTTCGTTAATATTATTGATGTGTGCGTAATCCGGTATGCGTTCGGCTCTCCTTTATGCACACGGCTTCACGCGCCTACGATCTCGGTACGGAGCACTACGTTCCCGATTAAACACCCTCGCGACACTTTGTATGCTTATTCCGACAATTTTATGCTATCTCTTAGTGAACATTTGCTGAAAAACAATTGATTTGTTTTAATCTTTATTTACTTAGCAACGATGAAAATCAATATTAATTACTTAAAGTTGTAATCAAATGTGTAAAGCCCGATTAACGGTGTCATGTAAACGTAGTCATAATGAATTTAATCTGATTATTATTACTTATTATTACTTATTACCTATTATTACTTATTATTACTTTATCTCAAAATTTGCAGTAGTTACAACAAAAATGGACATTTCTCCAAAAATTCAAAAATTAAAAAAAATAAACTTTCTTTAATAATAACTTTTGCAAATATTTAATAATTTCCAGAATCCGAACATTTTAATTTACGTTATATTAAAAAAAAAAAAACATTTATTTGTGTATGTATACATACCTCTTGCATGTGCTCTTTTGATCCAATTTTCTTGAATATTTCTGCCAATTGCTGACAAGTTGACAAGTGTTTTGGTGTCCTTCCCACATTATTTGATTTTGGCGTCACCTTAGCTGTGGCATTAATCTCATCTGACTGAAAACTCTATTGAGATAAATGTTATTAATTAATTCCTGATTTATATAATTTAACATATCTACACGTAGTAATATTAATATCTAATATAAACGATACAATTACTTCAATATTTAAAAAAATTATGTATATAATTATACGAAACTAACCGCGATTAATCTGATTAACTAAGCTTGTAATTCAGATTCATTCGTATTTTTTATTAGCGTCAAGTGATCTTGTATCGAACTGCCTTTCACTCTAGTCATACTATGAAGAACTGTCTTGATTGTCCGCAGCGGAGTGTCGGACTTTCGTTTCTTCCACCACGTAGTAGGATAATCCTATAAAAATAACATATATAATACATATAATGTTGTCGCACTGAAATATTAATTTAAGACATAGAACAGCGCAATTAAAACGTTTACTGACTTATTAGTAACTCATGTTAATTGCAAAATGTGCACAATAGTAATCTTTCTTATTGCATTCTCATTTACTTGAATAAGATGAGAAATTGCATTACCTTAAGGAAACGATGCACTTCCAAGAGTATTGTATCGTAATTTAAATCAGCGGCCCAATTTGACATTGTTTTCACTATTTTTCATAAGCATTTCATCACCAACTTTTCATATTTCGAGGGAACATTTGATTCAGCGCAGGAATGAAGCAGCTTGATCAATATACTGAAAACAAACGTAATAAAATAGAAATAAAAAATTAAAATAAACAATATCACGTTATTGTTTCTCTTCTAAAATCGTACCATATAATGGTGGTATGATTAGAATTGTCAATAATTTTCACCATGATGTTATTGATCACTCTGTAATACGCTGCAGCCTGATGCAAATACTGCAACCTGTTTTCGGCCAACAAACTTATCATCTGATCTACTAATTCCTTCAAATGCATGAAAGAAACATTCTTCCCGAGAAATCCACTGTCATAAAACTGGAATAAAAGTTTTAAATAAAAAAAAGTTCAAGATTTTTTTAAATCGCTAATTAAAATTTTTTATGCAAGCTTAATTTAAACCTTGTATTAAAATTTCTTATACAGAATATTTTTCGAAAATTTTAAATACTTTTAACACATTCGAACGTCAAGAGAAAAATACAAACGTTTTCTATTGCATTCATGGACTGAACATCGGTCTCAAGACTCTAATAAGCTAAATTAAATAAACTCGATATCGGAACGATACCAGAATATCACATTGCCAATACCAAATTGTATATATTATGTAAGTACTGAGCGACATATCTAGATAAAAAACCTATCCAGAGCAATAATTAACATATGAGCCGCGCGTTATCCAGTCTAATATTGGAACATTAAACGTTAACGAGTAACCAAGGTATACTATACGGTACATCTAAAGTACTGCCACATAAATTAGGAGTTTGGTATAAAAATGAGGCATAATTTCACAATCAGGAAATTTTTCTAATGCTACTCCTTTATCTCTCAATGAATGTATCCGTATATCAAACATGACAATGTAATTCCCATCATTAAACTAAATCATGCATAAATATTAATATTGTGCCTTCAAATATATATGTTTAAAGAGAATAACGATTTCTTAAACAACTACTGTATTCTTATGTCGGTAGCAAACAATCTTAACAACGAGCGTAGACTAATCATATCGCGTTCCATAATCGTGTAGGCCTTGCGTTGGTATGTATTATGTTACGTGCTAGGAATTAATAGCTCTCATCAGATGTAACGTAGCAACGTTAGTAGCGATTGACAATTGACGACAACGCAACGTAGTTGCTCAGCCACTGTACCGTTAACTGCAGAGCTTCTTTAGGCTTATTGCTCTGCTGCATACGAGGAGGACGAGACCGATGTTCTCTTTGGCCTTTAGGTCCCTGCGAACTGTTGTTAAACATGAATTCGTTAGAGTAATAATGTAGATATTTACATTAATAAGAAAATATTCAATTTTTTAATGTTTTGTTTAATTGTATTATGTATGCACTTAATTATAGACATACGTTATACATCTTCGGTTCCAGCGAGACAAACCAAACGTATGTTAAATAATTACGACAAAATAATGTAAATATCTACATTATTACTGTAAGGAATTCATGTTTAACAACAGTTCGCAAGGACCTAAAAGCCAAAGAAAACATCGGTCTCGTCCTCTTCGTATGCAACAGAGCAATAAGCCTAAAGAAAGTCTGGTTCACGGTACAGTGGCTGAGCAACTACGTTGCATTGTCGCCAATCGCAAATCGCTACTAACGTTGCTACATTACATCTGATGAGAGCTATTAACTCCCAGCACGTAACATGATACATACCGACAGAAAGTTTCTTCAACACCGCACCAATATTAATTTCTGCGTCCTTAGCGAACATCTTCGGTTTCTCGAAAGGAATAGCCACGCCGCCTTTAACGGTTTCCCACTTTCCTTTGCCATCATCTTCGTCACGTTTCTTTTCTCGTTCTTTTTCTTTGCGTTCTTTACGTTGCTCTTTCCTCTTCGCTTTATCCTCGTCCTCCTCCTAGGCTAAAGCCCTATGTAAAAAAAAACATTATGGTGTTATATAATATATTATGCTTCATGTTATCGGCGTTTTAAATATAAAATATTTCGCGTCTTACCTGTTATCAGAGCGGCGAGACCTTTAGCGTAAAATCGACAATACATCGCCCCCAAGCATCCATACATGGAATTGGTTGTGAGGTTCAACGCCATTTGCCTGATATGATAATCCATTTTCTGTTTCGGCAATAGATTCGGCGCTTTCATGAGTTGCTTGATCTGCTGTCTGCTTTTGACTAATTTGTGACTCTCCGTTGGGATCATACCTGACTCCAGATTTAACTCGAGAATATTTAATTGCTGCATTGTATAAATTATGTTTTAGTCCAGATATTTACTTCATGTTGTTTGCATATAAGAAAATTACCTCGGCGTCAGCATACGCCGCACCGGGCACGGTGGTAAAACACAAATTGTACTCTTGTATAATACTCGGATTAATACATCTTGTATAATACCAGAAATTGAAGTCCATCAGCAGTCCCAGCTTGTCATAGAAACCTTTCTTCGGATCAAGTACGAGACCTCCAGCATACGCCGCAGCTTTCCTACGCGAGCCATCTAACATATATCTAGTTTCTTACTGACGACAATATATAAAAATATATTCAAATCTCACCTTTATCGAGGTTAATATTAATAATAATATTAACCTTGCGACACGACGCGGGACGATTAACCTCGCGACACGACGCGAGCTATCACATCATGACACACACGACGCACTACACGCACGAAAGTCGCCACACTCCGCGATGACAGTCCCTCACGGGATGAAGCAAGCTACGGCGCGGCAATCAATCGAGATAGCCAATCGGCATCGCGGAAAAGAG